GATTCAGACACCTGGATGTCTGATTACTGATGCAAAAGGTCTTCACGGCCATTTGCACAAAACAGGAGGAATAGCGACAGAACGACAGGCAGCCCTCGACATGATGCTGATGAAACAGCTGATAGAAGATGAAGTGGTGGGGCTGCGCTGGACGCCAACTTGGCGTCAGTTGGCGGATCCTTTGACTAAGGACATGCCGGCTGTCCTCCTGGAGACCCTGAAGGCCACAGGCACCATATGCTTGATCCAGACTGCTGATGATGAGAAAGAAGAAGAAAGACGCTCAGGGATCAGAAGAGCACAAAGGGAGAGACGAAAGGAGAGAATGCAAGCTCAGAAAGTCCAACGTCAACATCTTTTCCCCTCGATGTGACTTGCAGTTGGACATGGAGTTGCTTGACGTTGGTGGCATTCGCTGCCATTTTCGCCGTTCTCACTTACTTGGTGGTTCGTTTTTACTTGTGGCACTTGCAACTTAGTTAAGACACTTATAGGATTTAAGCAACTTGTAAGTAGTACTTAGGGAACTTAGGTTTTATTAGTTTTTTAATTATAACCGTAAGTTGTATAAATTACTTGTAACTAACTTATAAGTTCTGTAAGTTCCTCGACGACCAAAAGTATAGTCTCAAACAAGCTTTTTTTTTAAAAGAAAAAAATTAGAAAAATAAATTTTTGTTTTGAGATGGGCAGGCAGCTGTGAGAAAAACTAAATTTTCGTTTTGCACACATGACAAGCAAACATGTTGGCGGCTCATTGAGCCGCCTATACAAAGCTATAGACTATAGAACATATGACAAGCAAACATGTTGGCGGCTCATTGAGCCGCCTATACAAAGCGGTAGACTATAGAACATCTCAGAGCTAAAGTACCCCACGCATGACAAGTACGTTGGCGGCTCCATATATAAGCATTTCAAACCTCATTAAAACATATTTTTCAGTGAAGGCAAAGCAGCTTCTCTGCGTCCAGCTGCAACCACCATGTAGGACTTCGCCCGGCCAAGGAAATGTGCAGCAAGCGCTTCCGGCCAGTAACACACCAAGAGCTCCAAAACTCTGTCCGCTCTTCGATTTCAAGCGGCTGAATAAGGAGATAGAACTCCGTGCCATCTTGCACTGCTGAGTCAACCGTGCAGGGGTGCGCCCCCAGTAACACATCATTCTCTGAATAAGTATGTCCTTTGTGAAGGACCTTCTTTGCCACCATACAGTTGCTTTTCCCAAGACTTTGCCCAACGGTCTCCGATGAAGATTGTGCACCCTGCAATGCGGTGCCAAACTGGTAGGCCGCCAATGAAGTGATGTGATGCTTCCATATCTCTCGCTGAACAAAATGACTGAACTCACCCTTGTCCTCTTGCACTTTTGGGTCGTAACGGTGCAAACCGATATGCGACTTGAACTGCTTGTGCTTTCGCTCCATCGCAAAACAGTCGACGTAGAAGCCGGTTTGTTTCAACTGCTCAGCCGCATGAAACCGTTGGTGATGTTTCGGTTTCACAAAGCTCTCAGAATACACTTCAACAACCAAAGACTGATGTGCGACTTGTAGTTCTTGCAGCCGCTCAGTAGCAAGAGGTGCAGAACTCCCAGCAATGCTCCGTAATTCAATGCTGATGCGTCGCAACGCATTGAAACTTTCCATTTCCTTCATAAGCAACCCTCTGGAGTCAAGAACTCTTGACAAGAAGTAGTGAAATAGTGGGAAAAACATTGTTAAGTTCGAAGCGGACCCTTTGTACACGGCACCCTCAAAGTTAAAGGCGCCACCAAGCCGCTTTCGAAAAGATGGCGTGCAGCTTTGCACGGAAGTGCGCCACTCCATGGACAAGAACTGCTCTAGATCGCCAATTCCGGTCTCACTCCATTTGGCGTGAAGTGCGTTCACTTCCCAAGAAATGATCCCGCAACTCCAATACAAATGCATAAAGTCTAGAAGAAAGGCGCTTGGTGGCAGAGCATCACGCGCCAAAGGGTCGCTCAACAAACCCGCAGGATTGAACCTGAAGCCGCAGGCAATCTCTTTCTTTTGCAGGGCTGCCCTGGATACATTCGGTGCAACAGCACTCAAGTTGTCAACGACACTAAAGATTTCGCTGTCGCTTTGCCGGTGAAATCGCTCAAGACGGTGAGAGGTAATGTCCTCAAAGAAGTCGTTGTAGTGTTCAAGGTTGGTGTGTTTCTTGATGCAGTTCTTACAGAAAACGCAGCACCTAATGGCAGCAGAACCTTTGGCGTCCAAGGCATACCGTATACTGTCGAGATCGCTAATCATATAGCGATAGTCCAGACGCACCAGACCCAAACGGTTTGGAAACTGTACTGGGATACCGTGTTTCAAGTCTTGACCGTTTAGCTCCAGAACGATTTTCCTCACCGCCGCTGAAAACCCTCCCTGAATTTGTTCAAACTGTTGATGCTGCAGAAGGCTCAATGGATGCCAGACCGTGTCTGACCATAAGAAGCCAGCTTCCTTCAAAGAAAAGTACCATAGCGAGGCCTTCTTGCCCGAGTTAGGCGCCAAGATGTTGCCTCCGCTAGCCTCGTCGTTATAAAGCAGCATCTGAAAAACTGTTTCAGGACGATGATTCAGCAGCTGTTCAATCCTTTCGCCATAGTTGGGGCATCGTTCTATGACGGCCTTGATGCACTTTTTCACGTCAGACATGTAAAAAGTAACGGGCTTACCAGCCTCAACACCTGGCAGTTCCACCGGGTAGAAGATGTCAGGAACAGCCTTACTATTCAGCTTCTGCCAAGAACTCTTGTCCAACGAAGCTTCCTCCAGGTCCAATGCTTTACAAGTTGCATTGTATATGACTCTTCGACTTTCATCCGACACGCTATGTAGTCCCTGGGTTTCTTCTATCACATGGCTAGCGCTACTAGCAGTGGCGAGTTTCGCCTTCTTTTTGGGTTTGGATGGCATAGGCTCGGCCCAAAAACGCTAAATCATAAATATAAAATATATGTACAATGGTCAGTCCAACTGTGGGAAAAAAGGAACGCCTTGGCAGCTATCAGGAACCTTCAAGCGGCGACTCAGTGAGCCGCCTGCCATGATCTTTTTTGTAGATAATAAAGCTTTAGGCGCAGCATACTTTCTCCGTTCCCCTTCGCTTCGTCCCTCAGGTTTGAGGCATGTGTAAGTCACACGACCCCTTTCCCGAATTGCACCATCATCCCAAAAGGATGGTATCAGATCAAAGCCAATCATTCATGGCAACAGATCAACCCATAAAGGCAAAACCAATCAGGCACCACCTTGGCTGGCGCCCTTCTTGGTGGTGGCGCTCAACAGCTTCTTGACTTCCTTGGCGGCCGACGACAAGTCCTTGATCTTGCTGTTGCAGGCCTTGTCATTCTCGAAGGGCAGCGCATTGAGTTCACACCCAGGGTTCTTGGTGTAGAACGCGAGGGCATTCGAAGCAGCCTTCTTCCACTCCTTCAGCTCTTCGAGGATCACGCCGTAGTCTTTGACCGCCTCCTCATCCTGAAGCCCTTTGCCGACAGCCTTCTGAACCAGGTCCTCACCCGTTTTGCAAGCGTTGGCCAGGGGCACACCAACCTTGCTGGCCAAGGAAACAGCCTTCTTGGTGGTGGTCTTGGCATGTTTCTTTCGCTCTGCTTCAGCTTTCTTTTGGGCTGCGGCCTGTTCCTTCGAAGCTTTGGCTGCCTCTCGCTTCAAAGCGGCCTCGATCTGCTTGGGCGTCAGATTCTTCTGATCCTCCGGCGCCGGTGGTTTTGGTTTTGTAGCACCTGCAAGCGCTGTGGGCACGCATCTGAAACAAAACTTGAAGTGCTATAGACATGAACTTTCATGAAGTACTATATAGACAGTATATGCATGCATACATCCAAATATATAGAGAGATATGTCTAGAATCCGCTTTGGGGCGAGCCTTCGCCCTCAGATTCCGACACCAAGTCCATGACATTATCGGTGGAAGAAGCTGCAACACTCTTCTTGTCCTCATCTCCGTTCATGACGGCAGCCTTGCGCTTCCTCACGTTGCGCTCGGCCTCCACGATGGTGCGTTCCACTGTGGAGTGGATATCGCTTTCCGATACCGACACCTCATTGTGTAAATAGGTCCAGCACTGGAGCCCATCTGACCATTGCCTTGCGTTCCTGGACTCGAAGTCGGCGTCGATGGTGTACCCCTTTGCTGCATAGACTGACAAGGGCAGGTAAGTGCCCCCCTACCTCTAAGCGCCGCTGCTTGACCTGCTCTTTGGCCATCACCTTTGTCAACGTGTCCTTGACGCGGCTATAGCAAAAGGAGCTTTTCATCGATTCCTCACGGTCCTTTTGGCACTGGGCCCAGAACTGAGCTTGCTGTTCCTCGCTCATGGTAGCAAATTGGGCCGGAGGCCAGGCCAAATTGCGGCGCAAAAGCGTGTACAAGTTGTTGCATGCCCGACACCACATTTCGCGAGGACCACGGATGACAACGGTGTTGATGTCCTGCTCAAGGTGACACTTCTTGCAAATCACCACTTGGGAGTCAACTTCATCTGAGGCCTCCTGCTCTTCAAGAAAAGCATTTTGCCGAACAAGTCCCTGCGACGGCTGGGCAGCAGGCACCTCAGCTTCCCTATCGGGCTCAGGTTGAGCAGGGCCAGTGAGAGCAGTCTCACCGAGCCTTCTCCTCACTCATGAAAGTGTCTGTGGGCTGAGCATCATGTGGCCAAGTGTCACTCTTCTCAGGCTCAGCAACCTGCGTCGGTGGGACTGGAAAGTCAGAGTACACCTGGGTCTCTGGCAAACCATCAGCCATCTGGGACTCCTCAACCAGGATGGTAGGAGCAGCCATGCTTCAAACCGTTTGGTGACAAGACACAGACCGGTACAAATTTGAAATTGCAAAGCGCCTGCAAACCATCTACAATCTAGATTGAAACTCAGTGTGCCAGTGCGCACGCAGCTCAGTGAGCCGCAAAACCAACACCGTATATGCCGGGTACCCAAAACATTTGAATAGCTTTGCGGCTCATGGAGCCGCAATA